TTCTTCAGGAGCCAACCGGTGTCATTTTATATAGCCGACGAGTGCACATAACAAACTAGACTCTTGTGAATAGTACTACGCTTGCTGGTAAACGCATGCCATGGACTATTGTTACTCCATAGAATCAAGTCAACTGTGGCCGTCACTGCTTTGGAGGTCATATATATAAGGAGGCAGGTCGCTCTGGCTTGTTCTCATTAACATCGAGTTTCTTGAATTTGTTTTTATTCCGGATTTTTATAGGTCCGTCAGGACCTACGCAGTGGCTATTCTATGTAATGATACATGCGTTCAGAAAATTTTACATTGATGATTGGTAGTAGTGTCCAGGGAACCATTACATGCGTAACGATGAGCCCAGACTGCATCATATGTCGCCCGTCCTGGGACTGGTGTGAGGTTGGAATGTCAGTTGGTAAACCTGCCGGAATCAGGACACGCTTGTCAACCTTGCGGTTGAACAAGTCAGAACCCTAACTAACTCCAGTGCCCGACTGATGCTTGATGAGGAAGACAGCTGGTGTGGTAGATAACACTTGGACGATTGGCTGGAAGAAAAAGCCAGGTCGAGGGGAGACGACCGACTGGTAGAGAAGCCAGGCCGAGGGGAGACGACCGACTGGAAGAAAGAGTCAGGTCGAGGGGAGACGACCGACGAGTAGAGAAGCCAGGTCGAGGGGAGACGACCGACTGGTAGAGAAGCCAGGTCGAGGGGAGACGACCGACTGGTAGAGAAGCCAGGTCGAGGGGAGACGACCGACTGGTAGAGAAGCCAGGCCGAGGGGAGACGACCGACTGGAAGAAAGAGTCAGGTCGAGGGGAGACGACCGACGAGTAGAGAAGCCAGGTCGAGGGGAGACGACCGACGAGTAGAGAGAAGCCAGGTCGAGGGGAGACGACCGACTGGAAGAAAGAGTCAGGTCGAGGGGAGACGACCGACTGGAAGAAAGAGTCAGGTCGAGGGGAGACGACCGACGAGTAGAGAAGCCAGGTCGAGGGGAGACGACCGACTGGTAGAGAAGCCAGGTCGAGGGGAGACGACCGACTGGAAGAAAGAGTCAGGTCGAGGGGAGACGACCGATTGGTAGAGAGAGCCAGGTCGAGGGGAGACGACCGACTGGAAGAAAGAGTCAGGTCGAGGGGAGACGACCGACTGGTAGAGAAGCCAGGTCGAGGGGAGACGACCGACTGGAAGAAAGAGTCAGGTCGAGGGGAGACGACCGACTGGAAGAAAGAGTCAGGTCGAGGGGAGACGACCGATTGGTAGAGAGAGCCAGGTCGAGGGGAGACGACCGACTGGAAGAAAGAGTCAGGTCGAGGGGAGACGACCGACTGGAAGAAAGAGTCAGGTCGAGGGGAGACGACCGACGAGTAGAGAAGCCAGGTCGAGGGGAGACGACCGACTGGAAGAAAGAGTCAGGTCGAGGGGAGACGACCGATTGGTAGAGAGAGCCAGGTCGAGGGGAGACGACCGACTGGAAGAAAGAGCAGGTCGAGGAGAGATGACTGGAAGAAAGAAGGGAGATGGACAGGAAGGGAGACGAACGGACTGGAAGAAAGAATCGAGGGGAGACGACTGATGAGAAGGGGCCGAGGGAGACGCCGGAAGGAAGGCGGGGGGATGATGGACACCACGAAGAGATCCTCAAACAGCGAGTGCAACTTGGCGGCTACAATCAAGGAGCCAAAGATCAAATATTAGTCAGAAAGACTGTTTTAAGGTCGTTCCGCCCCGTTTCAGTGATAGCCAAAGTATGAGTCTCGTTATTTTCGCGGCAAAAATGTACGTACTGTTTGATCGAGTCATCTAGTACCGCTGCAGGCAACTATCTACGCCTCATAGAGCAAGATTTGTACCTCTCAGGATCCAGGACGCTGTGAATGGAGGCAGGGGGCGTATCGTCACAGCCAATAGGACTTTCAATGAGCTCCAGGACGAAGAGGACAAAAGCCACAGACCTCTGCGATAGAAAACAAGGAGTCGCCTTTATAAGACAGGGGGACGCACATTGTCTGGACGGATGGTAGGAGCGGGTCGAAGTTGAGAGGCAGGGTTTGGCCACCGGATAAACAAAAGAATAACTACCATCGATATCCGAGGAGGCCAAGAAGCCGAGTTGCGACACTCCGTCGGATTCTGTGGGCTTTCTCCGTTTCTGGGTCTCATCCAGTCCTCCTTTTCGCCTGTAGTTCATGCTCCTTGTAGTCGCTCCCCAGGTCCGGCCTGTTAATCGCATGAAATTAGTTGTGCCATTGCATTAGGAATTTGCTACTAAGCTTCCTCAGCCTCCGCTCCGTCTTTCGGGTGTGTTGACTCGAGGCTCCCTCATGCCCTTGAAGACACCGGGATCCGATCCGGCAGAAATCTAATAAGGCGATGGACCTGAAACCAAACTTGCACGTTGTAAATCTTCTCCCTCGAGCACAATGCCTAAATATCAAGAGGCCAGTCGATTGAAGGCAGCGTCACAATATACAACGACAAAGGCTAACACCCCTTCCCGAGATGTTTCCCCTCCCCCATACTCAACTTCAATCCAAGAAACGTCAGTAACGCCAACTGGTAGACCCCTTCCATCGCCCCCGCCTAATCTACAAGTCCTTCGCACCCGAAGGGGTCCACGGAGAATTGATCCGATGGACGAACTTGCAAGCCCATGGAGCGAGCTCGTTGTGATGCAAGGTCCCATGTTTGGGAATCTTGAACGCCTATACGCGCATATCGTCCTCGTTTGCCACTCCATGAGGACACCTTCCAAAAATTCGAATCTTCCTTTGCAAAACAACATCTCCGACGACCCGGTCAAGGTGAAGGCCAAAAATGGTCCAGGAGCTTTGGGACCGCAACGAGCGGCGGATTACGGATGCAACTTCAAGGCCTTGCGGCATCCGGGTCAAGAATGGGAAGCTGAACGAGGACGACGCCGACTCGTGGCACATTGTCCATCTTCTATTTCGCAAGTCACACCGGGTGTCAGCCATTCCCCACATCTGGCGCGATGCGTTGGTGCTTCTCAAGATAACGCAGCTTCCGAGCCATGACATGGAAGAACCTTTGATCAGTCTCGAGCGTTTGCAAGATCATCAGTGGTCTCCCGTGGTTGGTAACCCGGGTCGAGAGCCCATTGCCTTTGAAGTCGTCGCGCACCTATTAGCCGCAAGCGGTAAGTCGCACAAGTGGCTGAAGAGGAAGTTGGTTGCGTATGTGGAACGTGCTATGAAGAGCACGGAAGTTGAGAGCGAGATCTTGTCTGTAGACAGCGTCTCGAGTAACATGCCTTTCTTTTCACTATATGACACTTGATGGAAATTATTCACCGTGCAAATATGATGCATAATGAAATTAATTCGATCGTAAGAAGTGATACCAAACCGTTACACACTGTCCAGATGTCAGGAGCGACAGGGAGATGAACAATAGTTCTAATAAACAGTGGGATCAACATTTGTGCGCATAGACAGAGATCGTACCTCTAGGAGTAACCCTGTCTTTTGTTTGGCAACTGCAAACTCAACCGATTGGAATGCATGGCATTGAGATGATGATAGAATGGGTGGACCTACCCTTATCGAAGTTAGCTACAAGGTCTGTAGCAATCTTGTTCCTGACGTTCTTGCACGTTTCTGAAGTGGTTGCGTCTGGTTTCGTGGTCCAGGTAGCCGATGTTCCTAGAATCCAAGATACGTTTATCAAAGAGGAGGGGTATTGTTGCGCTGATCGGGTGCCAGAGGAATGAGTGCAGAGCGACAAGTGTTGGTAGGAAAAGGAACCCGACGGCAGAGCCAAAGTAGTGGTATACAGCCCGCTCATGTCAGTTTAGGCCCTTGGGAGATTGGAACACGGCTGAAGTTGACATTACAATGAAAGGGGAAGACTTGAGGTCGAGCCAAAGGTTGGTCTGAAGCCAATGTATGAATAGGATAGAACGTTGAGTTTGTGATAAACTCCACGATCTCGAGGAATTGAGATGAGTTCCAAGGTAGATGGGTTTGAGGTCGAGAGTGTTCACTGCAAGAACCGAGCGAATCTGTACAGGCGTCGTCGTATTGGGGAGCATTGGCCTCTATTCGACAACAGGGTAGGACTTACGAGGTATATGCCTCCCAATTGACGTCAAGTTCTGAGAAAACAATCAATTTGAGTCTCGCTGAGCATGATTCACACACCATGAACGTGCGCGGCGTCTAATCTCAATTATTTGATGCCCTATATCTCCTCTCTTCAATTATAGGCGCCGTTGACCAGTCTAGCGTTCCATGATGGGCGTGTTTGCTTCAGAAGAAGGTTGGGAATGGACTACAAGGCTAATACAGTGACTATTGAGAGGACATTTAGGCTTGAAACGATTGAGGATGAGCACCTACATGACTATCTGCGCGGGCGGGCAGACAAACCTCGCCCATCCAGTGTATAGTCACCGGGAGGTCGACTATGTGGCCGTGAAAGGCCTAAGCATAGTATCTATTAACCATAAACCTCTTAATCAGGCCGAATACTTGCAGAATCGGACCAGCAACATTAGTTCGCTGTTATTGGTGCACTACCGGGCTATTCGTGGCTCCTGTTCTCCTCAAACGGTATTCGTGAGCTCATTTACCCTCGTATTGATCCTTCGTACCAAAGGCCATCGGTTCTACCACGTCCAATCGCGTAAGCAGTGCGTTTGTGCTCGAGGTTCAGAGCACATGTCTTGAGGCATTTTTTAAAGCTTCTTCCCGCATTCGTGTACCATATTTTGCAGTAAAGGCAGAGCTACTGCCAAGCAGCTGCACGGCGCTCATAGTGGCGGGAGCCAAGTTATCGAATCACAGCATCCGTTTGTGCGACGCTTTGGGCGCACTTTGCTAGTTGTGGAAACGCTACAGACACCAGAAAGACATATATAGAGCACTATATTCACAATTCCTCATTTTCTTAGAGCTACGACAATTTGCCGCTCACAAGGTCTCTCTGGAACGGGTCTCATTAGGTGCCTTACAAGGCAATTGCCTTGCAAAGCACTTTCTAGTTTTCCGACAGGAGCTTCCACCTCTGCCTCAAAGACCGCATGACTATTGACGAGCTGTAGTGGACCACTGACTCGGCAGCAGGCCTCGATAATATTGCTATCCGGTTAGCGGGGCAGAGGTATAAGCCCTGTTGAACCAAATAGTATATAAATACATGGGTGACTTGTCTCTTCATATTTGTGATTTAGTTCAAATAACCCGAGTCGCGCTCTCAAGGCCGCTCCACAGTTTGGCTTCTAAGTCTAATGACGTCGGTGTGCCACTAGTCTATCGATGGTCATCCTTTGTACGACGTTTACGAGCTGAACAGGGGAGATAGTGAGCGTGAGCTGCATAACGGCATAAGGAAAAGTCTAGAAAGACTCTGAGTGGTAAATGTAAGATACATAGGATAACTCGCCTTGTACAAGGCGGCTGAGAAAGACTTGAACCCACAGAAGCGACAAAGTATCCTGACAAAGGGCAACTCGAGAGTTCTATAGGACGCGGCGTATAGCCGCCATGCGACAAGTAAGGTAATTAGAATCAGAGAAGTCCAATTGGTATCCTCGGCAAGAAACGCAATGCCGTCCGAGCCTACAAAGCATCCGTGGAGCGACTATTGCCTTGTTCGGGAAATAGGACGGAATATACATTGGAGAAGAGATCAGGGACTGGCTAGGAAGAGTTGCAAGAAGAGAAGTCAACGTCATCGTAGTCAGTCAGAAGCCGGTTCAACTCAGTGGAGTCGTTAGCGTTAAGCTCCATAGATACCATTACCTAAAAACAGCGTACGGATAAGCCTCTATATTAGGTATTCTGACAATATGCAGGAAGTCAACGACATTGGCGGATGGCAGAGTCAATATTTGTCTAAGAGAATCACCCGCCCGCCGTGACCGTAAACCCAGACAAAGACAGGCTTGAGCTTTCTCGAGTCCGACGGTGAGGTCCAAACGTTGATTGTAAGACAGTCTTCACCGGCAGGAGAAGGGTCTGGCGGGTTGGCTCCGAGCTGAATACATGAGAGCCCAAACGCAGTCGCATTACGGGTGACAGAGGGCGTCAAAAGTGGCTTTGGAGCCAGAAAACGAAGAGGTCCAACGGGAGGTTGAGCGAATGGGATGCCCAAGTATGCGTTTGTCGCATTCGAGACGGCTTTACCTCGTATTTTGCCTGAAGTGGTCTGGATAATGGGCACTGCCGCTTGGACGAAGCCAGCTAACGCGAGTGCAAGCCACAGCGTGAGGATTTGCAGAGAGTTAGGGGCCATGGTTGCGCGAGGACGACCCGAAACATTGTGCTTAGTAGTCTTATAGGCTGCCCTGGATGTTGATTGCGGCTTCTTTATCGTCACAAGAGCAGTGTTACATAGGGCCAACTATGGGGCCTTTGAACGGATCAATGCGGGTTCTGATCTTCCGTTACTGGGCGCCGTTCATTCTCGACTATTGATATTGTAACAGTCGAGGGTGAACCATCTCGAGGTGTTGATCATCTGATCGAGGTTTTCAGGTGGAGGTCGTCAATTCTCAAGATTCAGACTATGACAGGGCTCACCACTCCAACATGGGGTCCGTGCAATCAACCCGGAAATCAAGACTTGCCCTCTTCAGCAAAGTGATGTCGACTGCGAGCGGTGCAATTCGAATCTGCATACTCACAGTTGTGCAATCTATCCAACGCATACAACGTGAGAGGTACAACCTCTTGGCAAGCCGTGGATGCTGCAACCCTGTGCTCAGGTCCCATTTTCACAGCGTCCGCAATCCATGTGTACAAGTCGCCTGATCATCCACAGAATGCGGAATCCGAGCACCAGTCCTCGACGTCACCCCTTACTCCTTGTGTGACCTCACGACGCAATGGCTTCGTCTTCACGACCGTTCTAAACGACATTGAAATTTTGTGGAACCGGATATTGCGAGACCGAAGCCACGCCAAGAGCTGGCTATTGACTTTAGGCGCACAATAGACCAAGTGCACGTTTGAAATCATTGACCACGAGAAGACGATACAGCCAGGTTTCAGGTTAAACGACAGACTAAAGGCCGAGACCCAATCCCGCACATCTAGAATCAAAAGAGGCCGGGTCTTCCAGTTGGATCGGATTCTGTAAATCAGTGCTGTTGTTGAATATGTCGACGAGAGTGCTACTTCCAGGCCCATTGTACTTCTTCCAACCAAGCGACAGAAGGCCATCACTGGGGTTCACGACAAAGGCGCTCCATGCCTTTTGCAAGTATTCCGTGGCTGCCGAAGCAAGGCCAGGAAAGGCATTGAATAGGACAATTTGATCGGATGCGTGCCAGGAGCGAAGAGGTGGCGGAGATAGCGCACGGAAAATGGCCATGTATCTATATCGATACACGGACACCAATGAAGAAGAATACCTAGATTCCCATTAGCGTGATGGCTTCAAGTCTCTGATTACGCACTTGGACTGCTGGCTGTCGTAGCACCTGAAGACGGACAGAGTCAACAGATCCGAAAGAGTCTCGTTCAGCGTGTTTGTTGTCCGGTCTACAACGAGAATGTCGCCTTCATTGTCAGTTGTCCCAGTTAACAACGGCTGAACAAAGTGTCAATGACAAGAGTAGACGGTGGTTCGCTGGCTCACAATTTTCGCAAACTTTCCTGCGCGACCTCTGGATTTGTACTCGGATTTGGAGAAGAGTGTGGTATTGTCGACAAACGGAGCAATTCCGAGAGTGTTCGTAGAGTTGAGCGCGTCCGTCAGTTGGGCAGCGCTTTTTGTACGAACGCAGTCGAGCTGTGCTTTATAGTCTTTTCCTTGAAGAGAGCACCCAACAGCGCTCGCAATATTGGGGAACGGATTGGGTCCTGCGGCTGGGAGACCAACAATTGGGATTGGAGGAGGGGTCAGCGCCATGGATGCCTGTCCGCTCATAAGAATGGCACCGCGAATAGGTGGTCGGGATTCGTAAGCGTAGAGATACGCAGCGATACTCCCCGCACCCGAAGACTGTCCTCCAAGCGTAATCTGAGCCGGGTTTCCACCAAACGCTGCAATATTAGCGACGACCCATTCGACAGCGGTCCGTTGATCTCGGAGCCCAGCATTCGTATCCTTGTTTGGAATGGCTGGAGAGTTGGCATAGCCAAAGACGTTGAGGCGATAGTTGAAGGACACGAAGACAACCTCTGGATGGCTGGTCGACCACGAGGTAAGATCATTAACTACGGTGTATCAGCTATACGACACCTAGGTCGTAGAGAACGTACGCGCAGATCCAGACTGTCCCGAGTTCCAACCGCCACCATAGATCCAGATGAGGACGGGCTTTAGCCTCGGAGAGAGAGACGGTGAAGTCCAGACATTGATCGTGAGACAGTCCTCACCAGAAGGAGATGGATCCGGTGGATTCGCTCCTAGCTGGATACAGGAGAGGCCAAATGCGGTGGCATTTCGCGTGGAGGATGGAGTCAAGAGAGGTCGTGGCGCTAGAAAACGAAGTGGCCCAACGGGAGGTTGAGCATAGGGAATGCCCAAATAGGCGTTGGTCGTATTCGAGACGGCCTTTCCTTTCACTTTGCCCGACGTTGTTTGAACGACTGGAACTGCCTTGACGAGGCTAGCAATAGCGAACGGAAGCCACAACACGAGTATCTGGAGAGTTTTGGGGGTCATCTTTCAGTGGTCAGACTCTACAAACTCTTCGCTCGTCGTTTTATACGTCGTCCCTATATGGTCGTCGCAATCCACCTTCAAACCAACTCTCCGGCGCGCGCTGTGTCAGGTTCCACTTCTGGCGTCGGTGACTCGGCGATGTATTCAAGTGGAAGACGTCGACTACTGAAGCCGAGGATGCCGTATCGACATTCGAGCATGTCTGACCTGCAGGCTTGTACAATGAGTTTGAATTGAAAGAATGGAGTATATATACACTGAAAGAATGAGTAAACTCGACCAGGGGAAACTGCCATCAACTGCGGGCCTCAAGCAAAGAGGCGCTTCGTATAGCTGTGCAAGCCGTGAACGCCTCCTTCGACCTGAGCACTCGCAGTCCGCAGCTCGAAACGCACAACCCCTGCACGTACAGCCTCTTGGAGAGCTGCGATCGACTGTTGACCGGCGTCCTGAAGTGAATGTTGTAGTCCTGTGTGCAAGTACCTTTTTTCCACAAACGTTAGTAAGCCAGTTTCGACTGAGACTCTGGATGTTTGAGATTACACGGAGGAATTTGTGAATCGAGCCCTTGTCCTGAACGTCTCCGCTGACACCTGTGCGACTTTGACCGCAGACGTCTCGGAGAAGTATCGAGCCGTCGCTGCATTTCCAGTCTCCTTTGCGCCGTTGACTTTTGGGCCACCCTTTCCTTGTCTCACCGGTTGGGGACCAGGTGCCTTTGCACCGACGCTGCGCTGCTCCATAGCCTCGATGCTCCCCATTCCACGATACGCCTTGACTCGTTTGCCCTCGTGGTAAAAGTACTCTCCAGGAGCCTCCTCTGTACCGGCTAAGAGACCACCCATCATGACAGCACTCGCACCCATTGCGAGTGCCTTGACGATATGACCAACATTGGATATGCCTCCATCCGCAATGACTGGTACGCCAAACTGGATGCGAATTCGGCGACTTGGTAGACGGCTGTAGCTTGCGGACGACCGACAGCCATGACCTCTTGGGTGATACAAATCGACCCACTACCCATACCGACACGAAGGGCATCGGCTCCTGCATGAATAAGCTTGGCAGCCTGTTCACGCGTAACAACGTTTCCGGCTACAACCTCGAGATCTGGCCATTTTTGTTTGATCCATTGGATCATTTCAATCTGATAGATCGAGTTACCCTGACTCGAATCTAGGATGACAATGTCAAGCCCTGCTTCCACGAGCAAGGCCAGACGATCGCGGTCGGCTAGGCGCGTTCCGATTGCAGCCGCAGCGTAGAGCTGCTTGAGTCAGGACGCTTCGAGGAGAGGAAAGTTTTGGTTTTGAGCAAGTCGGAACGGGCGAGAAGGAGACGAGGCGTCCAGACGCATCGACGATGGGAAGTTTTCCTTTTGCAATCTCTGAGTACGTTATTAGCCTCGAGGAGCGTGACTCCAGAGGAGCAGTGACGAGGTCGGTGGTCATGATCGTTTTGAGTGGCGTGGACGGGTCGTGGAACTGGATATCGCGAGAGGTGACGATACCGGTAGCTGACCACCTAGGATCCGTTGCTATTCCCAAGGCGTTAGCATCAGCACGGACAGACACGAAGGATCAGGGACCAAAAAAAATAAATCTCCGCACATCACATCCGAAAGGACGTTGGTCGGAAGAACGAAGGTATGGTATAGAGTTTCTCATCACAGGCGGAATAACAGAAACAAGACGTACAGGTGATGGGGATACCGCAAAAGCCAAGTCGAGCTTTAATATCCAAGACATCGGCGACCGTGTCATCTGGACCGAGAACGACAGGATCCGAGATGAATCCATTTTCGTGACGCTTTACGGCGCGTACCATGGCTGCCTGTTCCTCGGCAGGCTGGTTGTGGTGGATTACACCGATGCCGCCTAGAAGCTAACGTGGAGAGTTTACTAAGCAAAAGTAGAAGTAATCAAACGTGGTTTACACACCGCCATGTTGATTGCCATTGCTTTTTCCGTGACAGTGTCCATGGGGCTACTCATAAACGGCGTTTTCAAGACGACCCGACGCGTAATTCGGCTCTCTGTGGAGACGACACTGGCTGGGAAGTCGATGTGACCAGGAAGGAGCAGGAAATCGTTGTAGGTGAGCCCGCCGTGTTTGATCGAGCTCATCAACTGGGCAGCCGAAAGTCCATCACGGTCTTCATACGTCGAAAGATGCTCAAGAGCAGTTTTAGGGTCAAGAAACTGAGACATGGCTGCGGACGAAACGAAGAGCAAAAGACAAGGACGGGTCAAAGAGGGCTGACAGGGTCGGACCACGAGATCGAATTTTGTGGGTGGGTTCGATGGAAAACTTCGAAAAGACAAGATCCGACGAGATTTTATGTATAGAAGTGTAATTGGATAATTAGCATGCTCAAATTGTACATTATGCTTTCGACCTTTAAACCTAGGTGCGTTTGTTCGCCTCCTTTTCGACCTTTGATGCTGTATCCCGAACACCTGCAGCACTCTTCTCTTTGGCATCCTCGGCCTTGCCCGAGCCCCATGACCACCACGAAGATCCAGTGGCTTTTGCAGACTCGACGGTTTGTTCTGTTGCAGCCTAGATGCGCTTAGTATCATCGTGTACTAAGTATAGAGATGGGCCTACCTTTGTCTTGTCAACCGCCTCCTCTGCCTTGTTGCGTGCCTGCTCGTAGCCACGCTGGAGAGCGTTCTGAGCATCATGTCCATGCTTTTCAGCCTCATATTTCGCCTTGTCAAGCTTGGCCTCGCCCTCTTTCTGTGTCATTGATTAGCCCTCACGTCTTCATGGTCGAGCAGACTGTCGGACGTACCTTTGTGCTCTGGAGGGATGCCTCACCTTCCTTCTTCCATTTCTCACCCTTTGCTTCGGCAGAATGCTGGAGTTCTTTTGCTTTGGCCTTGAGCTCGTCGTCTTTGCCGGTGCTACTGAGATAGTACCATCCACCGCCTGCTACAGCGATTGCAGCGACGACTAGCGGGACTGTACTGTTGCCCGTCTTTGGTGGATTGCTGGCGGGCTTGGTCATTGTCGGTTGAGGACCCGGGGTGGCATAGAATCGGCGAGGAGCCGTCGTGCGAAGAGTGCGTGCTGTTGAACGGAGCATTGACGTGGTGAATTTGAGAGTTGGGAGTAGACTTGGTTGAAAAGACTCGACGCTGGCGAGAGGGTTTAAGTTGTGTCCTTGAAAGTGACGTCAATCTGCAGAGACGAGCGTCATCATCCCGCCACTTGAAATCGCCGGTAATGTGTCACAAGAGCACCGTGGAGAATAAGAATTTAGCAAGCGCGACGCAAAAAGTGGGAAATAATCGTGTTCTACGCTATGGCTTGATCGGTACAGTCTTCTTACGGATCGGCGGTCCCCACCTAGAGCACCGTTAGCATTCTGACAGTGAATAAAATACAATTACAAACCCTCTCTGCGTCTTCTTTGGCTGTGGCTCTCGCGCATACACCTTTGGATCTTCGCCTTGTCGAAACTTTTCGAGACACCACAGGAGATACCTGTCGAGGTTGAGCTATATCAAAGCCATTTAAACTGTCTCCTACCTTCTTTCCTGGACGGTGAGACCCATCTTGTCCAGCTTTTGGCCGTTGAGTCGGAATAATTCTTCCCAGCTGAGCGTATCGACGTCGGGGAGTTTTGTTTCGCACTTTCTCCCAAATGCTACAAGCAAGCTCTTTGTGTCGTATCCTCCTGTTTGCAGTTGATCAGCGTGTCATTGCATGGCTGTAACTTGACCTACGCTTGTCCAATGGTACCCGCGTCGCCTCTTCCGACTTTTTCTGCTGTCGAATCATTTCAGGTGTCATTTGAAAAGGAGAAGGCGTGTTGGGAACAGCCGCAGCTGGCTCAAACCCGCCAGTGCTTCCTTGTTTGGTCGAGTCCGCCGCGTATAGACGTCCTGGAGCGCGTAAAACGCCTCGTATGACGAGTCTACGCGCGTGGAATTGGGCCACAAATGACATGGCCAGAAACGTCAAGGTGTCGTGGTGTTCAAACTTGGAGGAGCAACTGACGGGCATGTCGACGGCCCGAACCAGGGAAATAGACGACCTTTGACATGTCTTTGATATATTCCTTTGGAAGAATAGAGTGGGCCGGAACATCCACCAGGCTTGACGCCGACCACATCTTTCATCCGAGTCAGACCGCACTGATCATCACACACGATGCCTCCAAAGAAACAAAATGCACCGTCTTCATCAAAGGCTCCCGTCGACAAGGTCAGATATGACAACCAGAACCCAACTGCAGGCGCATACTGACCAATTGGATACTCTATCATCAATACGATGCACTATATAGACGTTTGGGATGAAGAATGTGTGTGCGAGCATACTTTAGACGACTCGCCGTGTTCACTAATCGGTCCGGATCGTGCGCTACAAATCCAGAAAAACAAGTCGGCCAAAGTGCAAAAGTATGTACAGCAAGTACAGAACGAACAAGCTCGAGCTGGCAAGACACCGGCTGCTCTGGCCAAGGAGAAAGAGAAAGAATTACGGGCCAAGGAAAAGGCGGCGGAGGAGAAGCGAAAGAAGGAGGAAGCAGAGCTGTTCAAGCCAGTTCAGGCGGTACAAAAGGTACCGTTTGGTGTTGGTGCGTGTCACGATTCCTCGTTTGCGGCATCTCAGCAGGGCTGTAGATCCCAAGACTGTCCTGTGTGCCTACTTTAAAGCCGGTACTTGTGACAAGGGGAACAAGTGCAAGTTTAGTCACGACCTAAACGTCGGGAGAAAGGTCGAGAAGAAGGATCTATACAGCGATGCGCGAGAGGATAAGGAGAACGGTTTGTAGAATCTCTCTATGCGGAAGTTGGCTTACATAAAGTAGATACGATGGATAACTGGGACGAGGAAAAGCTACGAAAAGTCGTCCTTTCAAAAGCTGGGAATCCACGGACGACGACCGATATTGTCTGCAAATACTTTATCGAGGCGATTGAGACGAAAAAGTTTGGTTGGTTCTGGGAGTGTCCGAATGGTACGCAAGATCGTTTCGTCTCCCATCATACACTCACATCTTTATAGGTCAGGACTGCATGTATCGACACGCGCTTCCGCCAGGCTTTGTACTCAAGTCGGAGAAAAAGGCGCTCGACGATGCGGCCAAGGCGAACACAATCTCTCGAAGAGTTTCTGGAAGTCGAGGTGGGCGATACCACTTCAATAGCTCATAGTCTTACATCCACTAGCGGCACAAATTGGGACCGAATCTCACACCCGTGACCCCCGAAACGTTTGCCCAGTGGAAAAAAACTCGACTAGACAAGAAGGCTGCAGAGCAAGAAGCGTTGAAAAAGGCAAAGGAGACACAAAATGCTGCTGGTCGCGTAAATGGCATGAGTGGACGAGACCTGTTCGACTACCGACCCGAGTGGTTTGAAGAGGAGGATGACGAAGGAGATGCAGAAGATGCAGAAGGTGGTGGATGGGATATTGAGAGGATGCGAAAGGAGACCGAGGCAGAGGCAGAACGAGAAGAGGAACTACGGATGGAAGAAATGCGAAAGGAGTTTGAAACAACGTCTGTATAATAGATCATCCTCTCTCCGGGCTTGGGTTGTCGCCGTTGAGCGCAGGGTACCAGGATCTATTGCAGGTTGAACTCGACACCGTCCGCGTTTCCTGCCAGAGGCCATCGACCGATTGAACAAATACTGAGGAAACTCAATTTTACGCGTTCAACTCTGTTCAACCACGTATCATGTCTTACGGGCCTCTTGTTGGTCCGAGGACATTCGACAACTTGGAGGGTATTCTCTCCGGCGAACGCAACGGTGGTTACATCCAGAACTATCTTTCTCTACGGGAGGCGAAGTTCCAGTCCCAGGTCCTCCCTGTGGAGGAACAGCGCGTCATCGTGAACATGTTCATGCAGGACGACGAGTCGCAGGTACACATTGCTTCTTTCGTATGATCCTATCCTTCATCATGACGAACCATGGACCTGTTCAGTAGAGCCTGACTTATTACAGGAAGAGCAATCCTAGCCCCGGAGGTGGTTCGCTCTAGCGTTTGTAGAGATACCCCATTCAGAGGATTCGGATGAAACAGAGCAGGATTACTCTGCTTCACGTACGACACAGATGCTAGGATGACCGGGCGACTATAAGCTACTGCTCAACTTCTTTCATCACCTATACAACGACTTGAACGACATCAGCGAGAAGGCTCTGCGACTCGTCAACAATGCCCGAAAGAAACGGAATCTCTCCTATTCGTTGGAGTACCCACGAGCGCACCGGCAAGGCGTACCGCTCGAGCGGACAGCGAGCCTAAAACAACGGGAATTGCGCAGGGAATTCACGACCTCGCCCGAGAGCAATGAGACTTTAGAGGTAAACAAAGGCTCAAGTGGCCCTTGCGACGCCACGAATCCGCCAGCGGGAAATGAGGATCACATTGATACAGCTGCCACTATGGAGCCACCCAAGATGTACTCTTTGAGTGCCCAATTGCCTGCTTTGGAGGATCCAATGCAGTGCAGCACCGGACAGTCCCGGATGAGGTGTGCAGACAGTTACCTAAAGAATCCGGTCTTTGCGTATGTGAAGACAAACATAACCGCGACTAGGCCATAGAATATGGATAAGACGACTGTCAAATGACGGGTGTTAGCCATCGAGTCTATGTACGAGTAGATATAATGTACGACCCTCCAGGCGGGAAGCCAATGAGAGCATCCGCCCGTCCCTTCCAGCAGCGCAAGAGGATGACGCCCCAGAATACATAGCTACTCCAAGCGAAAAATGATAATACGACTGCTACAGTAAACTTGACATCGTCAGGAGTGAGCAATCGCAGCGAGCCTCGACGGAAATAGTAAGAGTGTGTACAAGGAGCGCCAGGCGGGGTTAAATGGTCGTTCTGGGCTCTTAGCACAATGGGTTTATGGTTACAAATGTAGTATACGTTGACATTCGTGTATGGGAACTGGCAGAACAAGGGTGAAACCGTGCACTCGTCCCCCTGCTTCGATATTCAATGATGTAGAGTAAATAGATGCAAGTATTCTGTCCATTTTCTGTGATATGCCCCACCAGGAGACAGTCGGCGTCTGATAATTCAACCCGAGAGTGACAGACGCCATTCTTGGAACCATCCGCGTTGGCAATGCCACCTCAAAAGTCGACCAAACCAAATCAAGATCTCTCTACTGCTGCAGGAAGATCTTCAAGCAAGAGGGATCAACTACAAAATGCGGCCAGCATCGCAC